TACACATTTTACAACCTATTTAACAAGCTTGTGATATCCCTATATCATTGCTTAACTCTCATCCTCTCATCATTGATTTAACAGAAATTGGGCAGCATAACCTCATTCATTATTGCTACTTCTATAACCATTCCTCAATTACTCTTAAACAATCAAACATCAACCAATAATCATCAATCAATCATAACATGTATCAATGCATGAATCAATGCATGAGCATACAATTACTATCATAATTACATATCACATCTCATAAACCATTTCTCCTCAACGGAGTATGGTGGAACACTCAATGGGATCAACCACAAGGTCCAAAGGTTTACCTTGCTCTTGAGCTTTCCTCAATTGCACACAACCCCAAGGGTTGGTCACTCCACTTGGTCCTCTTGCCTCAATCCTATCAACACAAGGAATACAATCAAACAATGCTAACAATGCAAGGAAATCCATCTAGATTTCTCAAAACATCAAAGCATACTAAAATAACACTATAAACTCATTTCTACCGATTAAATGTTATTCCTAGCATTTTTCACAACATACTCTAAGCCTCATTCTTCCTTGAACATAGCCAATCTACTCAACATTTCATAAAAACCCTAAAACACTATTCATTAACCCTAAACTCATGCAAATCTCCAAGAATCATGTGAAAGAGAGTGGAAACTTACCACCAATGATCACACAATAGAGGAATGAGCGTTCCTCAAGCTTCCATGGAGGTAGAAACTCCCAAAATCCCAAAACCTCACAAAGGGCCGAATTTTTGAGAGGCAATATCTCTCACCACAATGCTCCCCACTCCAAACTAAGCTTAGATTATGAAAGAGGGGAAGATTTAGAGTGGTTTAGGCTTTTGAATCACCCAAAACGGTTAAGGTTTCCTCCCTCCTCTCTCTCTTCTTCTCTCTCCCTTTCTCCTCCTTCTCCTTCTTCTTCTTTCTGGTGCCTCTGTTTCTCGACGGGGAATTGGGGAAAATGGGGCTCTTTTTTGCTTTCTAAGTCACTTACTTAGTTAAGTGGCTTATGTGGGTATTGGTTCATCTATCTATTCAACTCCATTAATTACCAAACTTTACCCAAAAGTCTGGAATATTATTCTAGGAATATTTATAATTTTATTTTTATATTTCAGGCACTTTTGCCTGTACCCATTTATACCCCTTAATTTTCACTGAGTACATTTTTTTTAACTCCAAGTGACTTAAATTCATTTAATTAAGCCCTATACTTAATTTTACTCACTAAAACATGCTTAATTATTTAATTAAAATTAATCAATTAAATGCTTAAGTTTGGGGTATTATAGCATTGGTGAAACAACTTTGTCAGGTCTTCAACTGCAGATTTCTCCTTCATCACCGAGGTAACAATCTTCGTCAGTATTGGTTATTACTTCGCTTTTTTTGTTTGTCATCAACTGTGGATTACAAGCATTAACCTTTTCTGGCCGATTTCCAAGAACATTAAGCATAACTATGGAGTTTGGTAAAGTGTTAATAGCTACTATCCTTGTAAACAAAATAAAAATATTGGTATATTATGCTTGGTGATGGGGTTTGGGGTTAGTGGTAATACGGTAAAGTAGTCGGTAATGTTAATACGGTTAATGGTGATGGGGTTTGGTAAACGCTTAATAGCTGCTATCCTTGTAAAAAAAATAAAAATATTGAAGAGTTAATTAGATTCATTAAGAATGAGAGTGATATAACTATGAAGTTTGGTGAGAAGAAAATAGTGATTTCTCATATGCTAGGGTGAGAAGAAAACAGAACAAGGCTAAGCAGGTTCAGAGTTCCCAAGACATTGGTAACTATGGTGGCAGCTTTAGCTGAAGGGAGATTAAAATTTCCAACCAAGTAGGTCACTAGGTTCAGTGGATATTTCCATAATAACAATTCTTTCTGCTAGTTCAGTACCTGCATAAATTTAAGGTATTCATATGTAGGATCCAAATAAGAGCCTCTAAGCTCAAACTTGAAAATATGACTCAAAATTTCATTGGATTGAGAAGTACCTAAGATGAGTCATGCTACAACAACTCATTGGATGTTTTTGATTTGTCAGCAGGTGACCTCTAAAATCCACTGCAACAACTTCTTCTACAGCTTCTGTTTCGCCATTACAGAACCTGTAAAATTGGGGTTTAAAAAGAAGCCAAACCAGTTAACCACTTGTTGTTGTGCTGAGTGGTCTGAACTGCTGAATCTGCCTATTTGAGTTGCATGTTTTGTGGAGTTATATAGGCTATAGTTGTAGACCTTAGGCCGTACTACCCTAACCATAACAAGACTTGGAAAGTGATAGGACTTGCATTCCTAATTTAGCTCCTAACTTACCAACATGAAGTCACAGTCATACTAATCAATTGGAAAAAGAAAAGCATCTCCAAAATCCATGTTTAGGAGATACAACACAAACATAACTACTTCACCATTTGATATAATGCATATTAATCAATTTAACACACAAACATCATACACAATACGTATGACAAACCAACAAGTAGAAGTAAAAGCCAAAAGAAGAAACGGTACTTTTAACAACATCCACAACCACTGTTACCCTAAATTACAACAGCACACAACATAACTAGACATATGGTAGTCCAGACTCCAATTACAATCCACAACAATACAAGTCAACCAAATATCAACATTGCAGTCCTTACGATCCCAAATGTTATCACAATTACAATTAGCAAGACATTATATGATTTCATCAATTTCTCCAACTTCACACAATTGCGACAACTAGGTTCTTCAAACCACTCAAAAAAATGGCAATCATGCTGTGTTCTGGAATTAGGACATCGAAGAAATTGTCTTCCGGGATTCCTTTGTGTATTTGACATTCGCAACGCAGCCGGCACTCCGCAATAGCACTTCTTCACCCTGGGAGGGGATAAGGACGACGAATGCCTTGAGATGACGCTTTCAACTCCACCTACACCCGATGGAGGTCCAGCCATGCTTCCGTCAATGGTCGTGCTGTACTCGATTCCAAGACTCCTCTCACGAGTCACTTAAGTTTTGGTTACTGCCGTAACAAGAAGGACACAAATGTCCACTTCAGTTAAACTTATAAGCAACAAACCAACAAAAATGTATATACTATAATGCAAAACTCAATCAGCAAAGATATCCCAACATTATAATTCCAATAAAATTCAATTTATAAAAACACACAGTACCCTAAATTTAAATTTCAGTATTAATTATTAGTTTAGTTCTATTCAGCATAAGAATAGTTTAATCCAACAATCACTGCTTCCTACCTTCTTATGTTCATCACAAGTCATTTTCAACCAGGTTATAGTGTTACGTGCTTGTGTATGTTTAAGGGTTATGACAAACTTTTTTCCCTATTCTGAATGATGTCCTTACAATGATTTGCAGGGGACTGTGTCTGGATTACAAGTTTTGACACAAGTTATGACCCATTTTTCAAAGCATAATAGCAATAAATGTGACTTTTTCAAAGTGTAATAGGTGATATTCTGAGTTGTAAGTACTACCAATGTATACTTTGCCATTCCCTCGGTACCTATAAAAAAGAGACTCGCAACATAACGAAACACAACATGCTCAACTGTGTAACTGAGACACAACCAAAACTGTAAGATGGTGCAAATGAGGAACAAGCAAATGATTCTAAGGAAACAGACATGAGGAAAATGTGAAAGCAGAACAAGAAAATGTGAAAGCTTCCTTGGTAATACATTATAACAGAGGAAGAACGTAGATGAAGATGACTTAGGATTTTTGGATACATTAATTCAACACCCATTTGGAACACAACAACGATGATACCCATGACCAAATAAGGGGGAAAAAAGATGAGCATACCTCTTGTGATGGTGGACCAATTTTTATAAAACAATTGCAAGCATATAACATGCCCTTTCTTTCCTTCCGGTGCGTCAATGGAAGTCGAACCCAAACTTGGTAACAATGGTGCAATGCAGAGGCAGTTCTTAAAACCTTGGTTGTATGCCTTCACTGACTGTCTGGAGTGCTGTGTCGACGAAAATCTTGTCATGCTGGAGAAGCGGAAACACAGACAAGCTTATTTCTAAACACAGCTCTGAAATGGTCGTTGGCAACACAAACTTCCTTTTTTACAAAAGTTTATGGACGTACGTTACGGGTAACGGGTGTCTTCCTTTCCAAACTAAAATTTATAAAGTCAGGGTTAATTTTGTAAACTCGCACGCATTTTTCCATCTATATGGTACTTATAGCCAAACATAAACTTTACAAAAGTTACCTAATTTCCCCAGTAAAATTTTTCTCCACCAAACAATTTTTTTTTTTACATTTTTCTATTTATCTCATTTTCTTACCATTTTTCTATCAATTAAATTTCCCTAGTATTCAAAAAATTTCTCCTAAACTAAACGCCCCCTTAGTATTTTGTTGGGCCTTTTGGGCTTTTGGCCTTTACATGTACCAAATATATATATATATATATATATATATATATATATATATATGGGATAGGATCAACTTACACCGGTGTAAGAATAATAAATCTTACACCAAATCATAACCGTTGATTTTCTACATCTAACGGTTCAGATTTATTAGGTCTCACTCATTAATTAATTTTTAATTCCCAATAAATCTAAACCGTTAGATGCACGAAAATCAACGGTTATGATTGGGTGTAAGATTTATTATTCTTACACCGGTGTAAGTTGATCCTATCCCTATATATATATATATATTTGGGTTTTATGTTTATTATTTTACATAACATAACTTCACTTTCCTACACACACATTAAAGTGGTGGGGTCCACATATTTTTCTTTCTCTTTCATCATTTCACTTTTTTTCTTCCCATTATTGTGTCTGTTGAAAAATCCACTTATATCATGTCACATGACATTAATAAAACTTTTTTTTTTATTTTCGGCTATTGTTATACTCTTTTGCCACTGTTTCCCTCGCGGTACTTTCGCTTCGCGCATTTTCTTTTTTCTTTCAATTCCCGTCCCTCTCTCTCTCTCTCTCTGGTTTAAGAGTTCAAGCCATTGGCATATGAACCCTAATTTCCCTCTCTTCAAACTTTGAACACTTCATACCTCTCTCTTTCTCTTCATCTTTCTTCCTTGCCCCAAACACACACACACACTCACTCTTCACAATTTCAAACCCTCATTTCAACAATAACCCTTTACTATATACCATTTTTCTCTCCCTTCAATAACCCCTTCCAATTAGGGCGAAGAAAATAACACCAAGACCCTTTCTCAACTCAAAAAAACGACCACCGCCGATTCTGGCTTCTCCGAACGAAAGAACGAACGAACAAACGACCAGCGTTTCGACCTTTCGACCACTACTCAGTGAGAGGTATTTAACTATTTATTTGCTTTGACGGAACTGAAAACGACGATGCGGTGTTGTCGTGTCCTCTACGCGCCGCCGCAGTTGCGATTCTCTACGCGAAAGCGGTGCGTAGTGGTTGCTGATGGCATCGTTGAGAAGCTGATGCTTTGCGCAATTTGAAACCCTAGATTTCGTGCGAGCTTTATTTTGGGGCTAAATGTTTTGTACTTGGTTTATTGCAGTTATGAAATGAGTTTTGACTCGTGTGTTACTATTGTTTCTTATTCTCTTACTGAATTTGCGCTTCACTGTCATGATTAATGTTCCGTATATGCCTCTTGTGCGCTTTTGGTTCTAGGACTCTCGTGAAATTGAATACTGTTTGAATTTGCGTGTCGAATTTTGAAAGTTTAGCGTTTGTAATCGGGGTGCCTTGTGCTTTGGCATTATGCATAAGACAATAAGCTTGCTAGTTTTGAACCCTATCTTGATTTCACTACGGATTTATGAGTGTATCTTGTGAAACTGATTAGTGTTTTTTGTTTTGTTTCTGGTTGAATATAGTGTTTAGGGTTGTGAAACGGTAGGCATTTCATTGTGTCAAGTTTCTGAATGTTGTGAAAGTCCAGTCATCCTTTTACTTACGGAATTGAATTCTTTCAAATACTACTCATTGTAAGGTAAATCATTCACTGAATATGCACAAGGTGTGCACACAGATTTCATTTGCTACCTGCATCTCCCAACAAATTATTTTACGAGCTATTTGCTTGCCTCTTTGATGACTCCCTTCCTCTGTGTGGCAATGTGTTTTGGAGACTAAAGAATAAAGATAGATATTAGTGTATTTTCTATTTTTTGAGTATTCTCAATGGAATGCAAACTTTCATAGTTTAATTTTTAGGCTCAAATGTGAAGCAAGGAATACAAAAACTAATAAAATGTAGCTGATTAATTGATTGATAAGCCAAATATGAGAATGTAATAAATTCTAATAGAACACCATATTGAGATTTGAGACCAAGCATGATGAAATAGGACTCTTTGTTTCTTCCTTTACTCACAAGTGCCCCAAAGAGAATAGAAACAGAGTTTGCGTCGTCCATAACTTTTTTTCAGTTTCTTATCTTTGTGTCTTAATTTTTTTTCATTTATTATTTTTTCCAGAGAGATAGCAGACCATGGCAGACCATCGAAATGGAAGTAGCCAAGCTACCAACGGAAAGGCCAATGCGGCAAGCACTGCCTATTCAATTGATTTGAATGCATTTCAAACCAGACTGAGGACATTTTATTCCCATTGGGATGAACACAAAACAGATCTCTGGGGCTCTTCTGATGCAATTGGTGTTGCATGTCCTCCACCTTCAGAAGACCTGCGATACCTGAAATCTACTGCTCTGAACTTATGGCTACTTGGATTTGAGTTCCCGGAGACGATTATGGTCTTCATGAAGAAGCAAATCCACATGCTCTGCAGCCAAAAGAAGGCTTCTATTCTTGAATCCGTCAAAAAACCTGCCAAAGAGGCAGTTGGTGTGGATCTTATTTTGCATGTCAAGCCTAAAAATGATGATGGAACTGCTTTGATGGATTCTATATTCCGTGCCATCCGTGCTCAGTCAAAGGCTGATGGCCATGATGCTTCCAATGTTGGATACATATCAAGAGAGGCTCCTGAGGGGAAACTGCTTGAAGTATGGGCTGATAAATTAAAAAATACAAAGTTTAATCTGAAAGATGTGACCAATGGGTTGTCTTCATTGTTTGCTGTAAAGAGTAATGAGGAGCTTACATCAATTAAGAGAGCAGCATACCTGACAAGCAGTGTGATGAAAAACTTTGTGGTTTCAAAGCTTGAGAATGTAATTGATGAAGAGAAGAAAGTTTCTCATTCTACGTTGATGGAGGATACTGAGAAAGTTATACTGGAACCATCAAAAGTTAACTGTAAACTGAAGGCAGAGAATGTTGATATTTGTTACCCTCCAATTTTTCAGAGTGGGGGAGAATTTGATCTCAGGCCTAGTGCGGTCAGCAATGATGAGTTACTTCATTATGACTCTGCCAGCGTGATTATATGTGCAGTTGGAGCCCGGTATAAGAGTTACTGCTCAAACATAGCTAGGACCTTCTTGATTGATGCAGACCCTCTTCAAAGTAAGGCTTATGAGGTTCTTCTGAAAGCCCATGAAACTGTCATCGGTTCTTTGAAGCCTGGAAACAAGTTGAGTGCTGTATACCAAGCTGCAGTTTCTGTGGTAGAAAAGGATGCTCCTGACTTGATTTCCTACTTGACAAAGTCTGCTGGGACAGGCATCGGTATTGAGTTTCGAGAGTCAAGTATGAATATTAATGCTAAAAGTGAGCAGATACTAAAAGAAGGCATGGTCTTCAATGTCTCAATTGGATTTCAGAACTTGCAGAGGGAGAGCAGCAAGACTAAGAGCAAGCACTTCTCTCTGTTGCTTGCTGACACGGTCATCATCAACAAGGACAAGACAGAAGTTGTGACTTCTATGAGCTCAAAAGCTCTGAAGGATGTGGCTTATTCTTTCAATGAGGATGAGGAAGAGGAAAAGCCCAGTGCAAAAGTTGATGCCAATGGTGCTGAGCCCTTAATGTCTAAGACCACTCTAAGGTCAGATAATCATGAGATTTCAAAGGAGGAACTCAGAAGACAGCATCAGGCTGAGCTTGCTCGTCAGAAAAATGAAGAAACAGCAAGGAGGCTTGCTGGTGGTGGAAATGAGAACGGGGACAACCGTTCCTCCTCGAGGACTTCTGCAGATCTTATGGCCTACAAGAACATAAATGACCTTCCTCCTCCCAGAGAGATGATGATTCAGATTGATCAAAAGAATGAAGCAGTTCTCTTGCCTATAAATGGAAGCATGGTACCTTTTCATGTAGCTTTCATTCGAACTGTTTCCAGTCAGCAGGAAACAAAAAACAATTGCTATATCAGAATTATTTTTAATGTTCCTGGGACCCCTTTCAGTCCTCATGATTCAAGCTCAATGAAGTTCCAAGGATCTATATATTTGAAGGAGGCTTCATTCCGCTCCAAGGATCCAAGGCACATAAGTGAGGTTGTGCAGTCCATTAAAACGCTCAGGCGACAAGTTGTCGCTAGGGAGTCTGAGAGAGCTGAGAGGGCAACCTTGGTTACTCAGGAGAAACTGCAGCTTGCGAATAATAGATTTAAGCCAATAAGATTGTCTGACCTTTGGATCCGCCCTCCTTTCGGTGGGCGTGGAAGGAAGATACCCGGTACACTTGAGGCTCATGTGAATGGATTTCGTTATTCTACCACCAGGCATGATGAGCGTGTGGACATATTGTTTGGCAACATTAAGCATGCATTTTTTCAGCCAGCAGAGAATGAAATGATTACACTTCTTCACTTTCATCTGCACAACCATATTATGGTAGGAAACAAAAAGACCAAGGATGTTCAGTTTTATGTTGAGGTAATGGACATGGTCCAGAATGTTGGAGGTGGAAAGAGATCAGCCTATGACCCTGATGAGCTTGAAGAAGAACAACGAGAGAGAGATAGGAAGAATAAAATTAATGTAGAATTTCAAAGCTTTGTGAATCGGGTGAATGATCTTTGGGGACAAGCGCAATTCAGTGGCCTTGATCTGGAGTTTGATCAACCTCTGAGAGAACTTGGATTCCCTGGTGTACCTCATAAATCTTCTGTATTTATTGTTCCTACTTCAGCCTGCCTTGTCGAACTGATAGAGACCCCTTTCCTTGTTGTCACACTAAGTGAGATAGAGATTGTGAATCTAGAGAGAGTTGGGCTTGGGCAGAAGAACTTTGATATGACAATAGTGTTTAAGGACTTCAAGCGGGATGTCCTCAGGATTGATTCTATTCCTTCTACATCACTGGATGGCATCAAGGAGTGGCTTGACACGACGGACATCAAGTATTATGAGAGCAGGCTGAATCTGAACTGGCGTCAGATCCTAAAGACAATCACGGACGACCCTCAAAGCTTTATTGAAGGTGGTGGTTGGGAGTTTCTGAATTTGGAAGCTACTGATTCAGATTCTGAAAACTCTGAGGAGTCAGACAAAGGTTACGAACCATCGGATGTGGAACCTGAATCCGAGTCAGAGGAGGAAGCTTCTGACAGTGAATCACTTGTTGAGTCTGAAGATGATGAGGAGGAAGAGGATGATGAGGTGGATTCAGAAGAAGAGAAGGGAAAGACGTGGGAAGAACTGGAGAGGGAAGCAAGCAATGCAGATAGGGAGAAAGGGAATGAATCTGACAGCGAAGAAGAAAGGAAAAGAAGGAAGGCGAAAACTTTTGGTAAGTCACGTCCCAGTCTAAGTAGTAGCATGCCAAAGCGGGCCAAGTTAAGATAGATTTTGGTTTTCCTTGGTCATTTTGCTGTTTAGTGCAGTTGCTTTATGTTATTGCTGCGGTTAGCAGCTTTTGTGTTTGGTGTTGCCGTATGATTGTAATTTAGGTTTTCCTTTCCATTATATAGTTCAGCATCTATAGGAATCCTTGAACCCAATGTACGCCCTTGAAATGTTTACGTGGTTATCCCTTTTAACAAATGCTGCAATTTTTTTACTTCTTTCCTATTAGTATATCTTAATTTCTTGTTTGTGTGCTTTTTTGTTTTTACATATAGGTTAAATTGCTATGTAAGTTCTTATTAATTTACTGAATTTTCAAATATATTTTTATAATTTAAAAGTTTCTAATAACAGCTGTGTTCTTATACTATTAAAATTTCTTTAATAGGTTTTTATTGGTTTACTGTGTTTATACTCTTGTTAATGAATGTTTACAATCTTTAAAGTCATTTTGTGTTGTGGATACATGTTTTAAGTGCATGTTTTGATTTTTTTATTTAGTTTCTCTTATCTTTATTAGCATTATCTTTATTAACAGAAGTTAGGTCAAATAGATTTTGAGAAAAAAATTTATAATAAAAATGAAGAAAAAAGTTAAAAGTCAAAAGCTTTTAGAAGAAGTTTTGTTTTAAGTTCTTATCAATTTTTCTTAATTCGTGTGTTTTTTTTTTTTTTTTGAAATGAAAAGTCAGAGGTTGAGAGAGAAAAAAACTTTTTTTGAAATATGTGTTATTATGTAATTTCTAAGTTAAATTTTTTATAATTACCAAATAATTTTTAATTTTTTTTTTTAACTTTAGTTTAAAAATAGTTTATACTTTAAAAAAGTGAGGATTCAAAAAGATTATTTTTATATCGGTATAAAGAATCAAACTATCTCTTTCATGATATGATCCGTTTATCAGGTATTGATTCGTTGAAGACAGAAATAAATTGCTACAAACAAACAACATATTCAAGCGACTTATTAACCAAAAAAAATAATAATAAAAAATTACAGGCAAGTTACTACTTTGTTTGGTGAAAATTAAAATATCAATTACCTATAAAATAGGTTTCATAGATGAGAAATTAATTTAATGTAATTTTTTCACGACATGAAAAAGATAGTAATTAAAGTTAATTTAATATTTTTTCTCGTACAAAATTGTTATTTTAGGGCAGTGACCAAAACAATAAGGACAAGTACCCATCTAATTATCAATGACGCCTTAGATTTTCAGACGCGACATGTGCTCGAGTTCATAATTCATCATTGGCTTTATAACCAAAGGAAGCGGAAGCGGAGTTTCTTATAACTCCAGCAAAGATCCAATTTCAAACTTGTTCACCAAATGGTGGATGTGGGTCCAATAAAAAAAAGTATTTTAATATTTTATTTTATTTTTAAAATAAGCTAATGAAATTAAGTTGAGACGTGCTTATTTGGTGACTCCTTTTTTTTTTTTTAATTCGAAAACAAAGTCTTAAGTAATAGACCCTTGAAAAAGATCCCTTTTCAATCTTTACACTCATTTTCTTATCAAAATTTATCATAACGTAAAATATAGTTAATCTCGTGAAATCACTTGGCCTCGTTCTTTCTTTTGTGATCCTTATTTGATAAGCGATTATATTTTTTTTATAAATTACTTTTATAAATGAAAATTCCGAAATTAATATAATGATTCTATGTATCATTAGAAAACGAAAATTAAGGTTACTCTAATATTAATTGAGTGTGATTTACAAATTAGATAAAGAATTCTCATTTTTTAACAAGAAGAATGCGATACATTTATGTACATCACCTCTTATTTGTACAATATCCATCATGTGATCATAACCTATGATGCACCGACACTGATATGAGACACGACACGACACAATGACACGTTAATTCTAAAAATGTCATATTCCGACACGTTGGAACACATTTTGATATTACATAATATTTTTAATATATATAATATAATATATATTTAATACATATAACAGCTCATAATAAGTTATATAACCAATCAAATATTCAAATTTTATAACATAAATATAAAAAAAAATATTTTTTCGTACCTTGTTAATTTTTCATGTCAAATTTCATAACAGAAAAAAATTGATTTATAAATTATTTTTCATTTTTAATTAATAAAATTTAGTTCTAAAAAAAAGTGTCGGATGTGTGTCGGAGTGTTGACCGCGTGTCTTTAGTTCATCCGGGACCAACAAATAACTTCGGTTTGATCATTTAATCATCCATTCGATTTGAATTTTTTTAAAATCCGATCCATATATAATTTATTCGGTTTGGATTGTATCAGTTTTTGACTTTTCAAAAAGGCTCAAATTTCAGCCTTACAAATCACTAGCTATATCAAAATAAAGCTATACAAAGTTACAAAACCTACTGAAAAATTCAAATTTTCAAACTAAAACAAGTCTTAAAACTTATGAAGAGTTAACATAGATTAATTGACAATAAAAAACTAAAACAAGAAAGTTTGCTATCAATAACATCGAAGATCTAATTCTACAAAACAACAAGATTTCAAGCTACCATCTTTCATAATAAATACACAATACATTGGATCAATTGTCACCAACCAAATCAAAAACCGATCTAGTCTAATTAAAATATGCATTTTTTTCGATTCGATCACCGCGGTTTGAATCGATTGGGTTTGGTTGATGAACACCCCTAAAAATAACTATAAACATGCTCAAATACCTTTAAAAAAATTATACCAGTTCCAAATATTCTAATGAAAAATAATAAATCACACAAAATATTTCAAAAAACAAAGAAACACACGACTTGACCTGTCTTCAAACATTTAACATCTACCACAAATGAAATTAAGATGAAATCTTGACGACTCATTAATTATTCTGATAATTATAATTTTATCTTATTTTATAAGCTTCTTAAATTTTTAAAAAAATGTCTGAATTTGTCTTCTTAAATTTATAAATTTTTTATTGATTTTTTTATTAAACATGTATGAACTAGTCTAGTCATCGGTTGAACCAACTGGGTCACCGATTTTTACCAAAATCAGCCGACCGGTTCACACTGATTCTAATGCTTGGCCGATCTGGTGCTTCACCCGAATCAGTTATATTACCGATTTATCGATTCCCGGATTGGTCTAGATTTTCAAACACGGGTCTAAATTGTATTGTGTAAGTATGAGAGAGAGAGAGAAAGAGGTGGGCATCTTAATTATTATTTTTTTGATTAATGTTTGTCCTTTTAAAGAACATAAAATTGTGTCATTTTAAGTGAAAGAAAGAGACAAATAAAATAAATCATGGGGAAAGAGAGTGAGAGATTTTTTTAATTTAAATTTTAAATAAAAAATATTACTTTTAACTAAAAAGACTATCTTTTAAAATGATAAATATTTTTTCTTTTTTTATAAAAATAAAAGGCAATTATTGGATAATTCTTTTTCTAAAAAGTATGATGGTGACATTAAAATATTAAACTATAACTTTATGGAAACTGTCCAAGCCCCTTAATCCAACTCCCCAGTGACTTATTATAAGACAATTTTCACACATATATACATGTTATCTTGGACCCAAACTTTGGACGCACACTTGCAGGATCATTCATATCACATCACACATTTACCTATATATCACATGTTACTACTCTTTTGCGAGAATCTTGAGCTATTTACCTATTGCTTCTGTGTTGAAGGTCTGTGAGTCTGTGACGCTACAAATACAATTGATCGCTATGACGATAGGACAATTTTTTTTTTTAATAAAAGAACTAAAAGCAATTATAAGACAATTTTCTAACACACATATTTCCCATGCTATTTTGAACTCGAGCATTTAGCCTTATTACATGATTTATATCACAAAATATTTTCTCACTCACACGTATCTTCAACTATTGACTGAAGAGACGACGTCGGGGTCATCCACTCTTCCTCACACATTCAATTGAATACAACTGAATTCTCTCATATTATATAAGTGTAAAATGAGTCAGATGACTCATCAAAATTTCAGGAGCCTATAATTGGATTTATATAAAGTTACATTTGTCCTAATATATTTAATAAAATAGACCAAATTCAAGCCCTTAAAAATATTCGATTAGAAAACAAACCGGGCTTACTTTTACAAAGTATGGCATAATTCTACATGCCAATAACTTATATCATATTATTTTTTAATTAAAATAAATATTTAAATAATTTAAATTAATAATATGTATTTATTTTTTCTAATTCTTAATAAGCATTAAAGACTTACTAGGTTTAAATAAGTTAATGAGGCTAAATCAAATCTTTTAATTTTTTTTTTATAGGTTAGGTCGAACCTATATTTTTACTTGCACTAAACTAATAAGTCAGACCATTAACCTATTATGCTCAACCCATTTACACCCCAAGTGTATATCGGTTTTATTTTATTCTCTCAAGCAAGTTAAAACCTTATATTATAATAAAAATTGTGTTTCGTTTCATATATACAATTACAAAACTACCCTTTAGTAAGGTTTTATTAAAACTAAATGAATAATTTTCTTACATTTTCAATTTTTTATTGTCTTCATCCCATGTCTTAGCTTAAGACTGTAACTAGTGTATTGCAAGATACATTATTTGCAACTTAATATTAAATGGTGTCTATAATAGACTCTAAGCATATTACATTAGTGACTCTAAGGTGATGGCCAAAGATCAGTGTAAAATCTCATTCTAGAACCTATTTGTTAACATTGCAATGATATTAAGCGCTATTACAACCACAATATTAAATTAAATTTTTAGATGAAATTTTTCCTTTTTCTTTTTTAACTATTTTCTTTCATAAACATTGATTTCATTCTTACATAATTCAAATACTAGATTGCAACTCAAACATAATAATTTTGCTTAACATCATCAACCAAGGAGCCCTATAAACTCTCAAGGGGTAAAAATTCTTATTTTCCTAAGCCTGGAACATAAGGCGTTCCCTCTCTGGAGTGGTTCTCACTCTGGGTCGTTTCCACTCTCATGAGATCGTTCCCACTCTGGAGTGGTTCTCACTCTGGGTTGTTTCCACTCTCATGAGATCATTCCCACTCTGGAGTGGTTCTCACTCTGGGTTGTTTCCACTCTCATGAGATCGTTCCCACTCTAGTGTCTGAACAACCTTGATAACAAGTGGAAATGGGTTTCTAGCAGCATTGGTTCCAACTCCAACTGGGAACCAAT